ACCATATAGATAAATGGAAAAAAAATAAGAAGAAATTAAAATAGAATAGCATACATGAAATAATTTATTAAAAGCCTTTATTTGGTTTAGGATTAAGGTCTTGTTGCTGAACTTTTCTGTGAGGTTGAATTCTTACCATGGCAGTGCCAAAACTAAAGAACAAATAAGAAATATAATATAATTTAAACTATGTGTCTAGATTCTCCAATTATCCTGCTAATTCAGGATGAGGAATGGGGATTGTACGGGGTGGGCTGGAGAGGTTTTAGTGAGAGTATAAAAGAAGGCAGGAGAGGCTGCTCAGAAGCTATCGCAAGAGCCGGCATGAGGAACAGAGTGGAGAGTGTCGCACTCTTCTCTCATGGCTGGAATAAGTACTTGACACTTAAAATGAAGGAAGGAAAGGTTTATTTAGCACACAGTTACTGGAGGATTCATACTTTAAGGCAGTGTGAATTACATAGCACATGCTTGGAGCCTTATTTGCTCTGGAGAGATGGTAAGGGACTCTCTCTTTTCCAAATATGTCCTCTTTCCAAGGCCGCCTCAATCACTCACCACAAATCCCACCCTGCAGCATGTGCAGGAGAGGATAGGGTGCTTCCATGTCCAGGATAAGCCACTCCACACCTGTAAGAGTGACCTCAGGCCCAAGGGGGCAGTTCAGAATGGATGCTGCCTTTATAAGGGTTCACACCTCTCTGGCCCTGCACCTTGAGCCCCATTCTGCTCCTCTGGCCTCACCCACAAGCCACTAGCTGGCTCTCCAGCCATGTCTACCCCATGAAACATATTCTGTTTTAGCCAGGGTTTTACTAGAAGAATGGATATAATACAATGAACGGACATAACATAAGATATACCAGTCACAGAGTCAGATGAGGTCCCTGAAGAGGGCCTCTGCACACCCGAGCCTGAAGGATTCAGTTGCAAGGTCTGAAGCTCACTGCAGCCTCTGTCTCTGACAGTCTGTGACAGTCTTTTAGTCTGGGCATTGGTTCTGGAAAGGAAGGCTGAAGACTCTGAGATTGAAACCTGAAGGATCCAATCCGGAGGACTAGAATTCTGTGGTGGAAACCAGCAGAATCCACACTGGGAATCCCTGGCACTGGGCTTCTAGAAGTGTATGCCTTCTAATATCATACCAATTACTGCTATACTTTCTCTTGTTAATGTATGTTTTTTAAAAAGAGGTAATAAATGAAAATAAGAGACAAGAAAAAAAGTCATAGGACTGTCCTGCTACAATGTTGTATATGGTAAGATTTCTAAATTTCTGTGTAAAAATTTGTAATTATTTATTTCTATTTTTAATTTTTTATGTTCATGTTTATTTTTATTTTTTTTCACATTGTGTATGGATTAAAGTTCAGCATATCAGAGATGGACATAAAATACCTGTTCCATGTTTTGTCTAAAGTGTTTGATGTTCAGTTACTGATGTTAAGCTCAACAGCCCATGTTCTAGGGTAATAATATCATTAAGCTTTTCTTCTGGAGGGTTAACAACTTAAGTGTGCAGAAAAAAAATTATAGAAAAAGAGGGGCTACAAGGACAGCCAACATTTTGGCCCTAGTCATTCAAGGTCAGTGAGGACTCAGGACATAGGAGAACCTAGAATGTAACATCATGGAAATCAGTTGTTTCCCAAAATTTCTGATCAAGGAGATTATGGGGCCACAGAGGAAAGTGACTGATGATGTAGAATGTGCCTAATGAGAGGAACATGGAGAGAAAACATTCTCTCAGGCTTTCACAGAGAGTAAATTGGTCAAGCAATGGTCGTGACTTATCCACATAGTGTACACTGACCAAGGATCTTCAAACTTCTGTACAGAGCTTCAGGGAAGTCCTGAGGGAATTTGACTGACCTTGTCAGATTGAAAAGTTGCATTTCTTGTTGTATAGGTCTTGCTTTATCTTGATCTTTACCATCAAGAGAAAAGTATAAAAATGAGGTATAAAAAGAAATATACTGAGCTGTAAAAGCCTCAA